GAGAGACCGAAGATTGATTTCCACCTCTGCAAACGCTGCTCAACCTTACTTAGTAAAATTTCATCCTGCAATTCCACACAATTCTGCAGGGAGATTTGAACCCCTAGAAATCTTTCCGCAGAGTCAGTGGGAGTCTTCTTCATCCCAAAATCCACGCAGATCACAAATTGTTCAGGCAAGAAGAACACCGATTTAGACCAATTGACTTGAGCCTCACATAAATGACAGTACTCAGACATGGTCTCTTTGACTGCTGATAGTGATTCAATCGTATTTCGTGACACCACAGTAAGATCATCCGCCAGTGCATTACCTTTAAATTGAAGTTGATGCCTGATGCGGAGGCCCACAATGTAAGGATTACATCTTATCTTGTTGAGCAAGACATCCATCTGCAATACAAACAGCAAAGGCGCCAAAGGGCAGCCTTGCCTCAACGAGAATGGTGACGAAATCCTACCATTGATCATTACCGACGCGGTGGCGTGAAAATACATTGTTTTGACCCATTGGCAAAAATTTGGTCCAATGCCAATGTGCCTAAGGGTCGTCATCACAAAGGTCCAACTGACCCTGTCATAGGCTTTCTCCAAATCAAGGAGGAGGACTATCATATCGAGTTCTTCTTCTGCAATGATCTCCATTGTCTCAATTACAGTAACTATATTGTCTAAGATCGATCTGTCCTTGACGAAAGCCCCTTGATCGACACCCACCAATCCCGGTAAGTAGAACGTCAGTCTAATCGCCAGAGATTTTGCCAGCAGTTTGTAGACTGTGTTCAACAGAGATATCGAACGCCAATTACGAATGTTACTCTTTTCCCCTTTCTTATACAGGAGTGCGATGATTCCTTTAGTCATACTGAATGGAAGTAACGTGTCAGTCAAAGCCTCATTAAAAATTTGAACTAAGTCTTCACAGAACAGATTCCAAAATTGCAGAAAGAACTCGATAGGAAACCCATCTTCGTCAGGAGCTTTGTCTTTTGCCATCTGATTTGTTGTCTGACTTAGCTCTTCTAGCGAGATTGGGCGGTCCAACGCCAGTCTACCTTCCCCTGAGATACACACTGTTGTGTCAGACCAGAAGGAAGATGACCGAGACAAATCTGGGTCCGCCTCCTCTGCTGGCCTGCGCGAAGTAAGAATGTCACGGAAATAGGTGACTGCATATTCGTACATCCCAATAGTTTTTGTCCTCCTTCGAAGACTTGGGTCAAAAGGGTGTGCGAGTTCTTTCATTATCCGATGTTGTGGAGTTTGTCTGTTAATTAAGGCAAAGGTTTCTTTAGACGTAACGTCCAACTTTTCCATCCCTTTTACTTTGCAGCGCTCCTGCCAAACTTTATGTTTCCTTATTTGGATTTCTTCCCATTTATCCAACCATCGGGTCCTTTCCCTAGACCAAAAGACGTGTAACACAGGGTGAATTCCCAGTTCTGCTTCTGCCTGTTCTATTTTCCTCTTGCAATTTCGTTCCTCTTCGTTCCTTTGGTATGCTTTCATCATAGTCAGAACTGACAGACCTTCGGATATTATTCTCAGCCCAGTGGTGAGCCATTCCCCTTTTGTTGGGAACTGTTCTTTGACCAATTGCCACGCTGCATTCTGATCCCGGACCCACTGGGATATGCCCGGGTCTTTGAGGTTCTTAGTATTTAACATAAAATATCCTCGTTCCCTATCTATGCATGGCCCAGGAGCAAAACGGGCAAGTACAGGATAGTGATCTGACATCGGATGAGCTTCTACAGACACTGACAACAGCGATTCCCACGCTCCTGCTCTAACAAAAACCATGTCTAGTCTGCGTTGACTCCGTGGATCAGTACTTACCTGTCCTGAAACTGTACGTGATCGTCTCGCTGGATGCCACGTAAAACCATGTTCATTCGGGTGAGTGATGCGAAAGGCATCAATAAGGCCTAGTTTTTCGAGCAAACAATGCAGAATTTTCGCATCTGAGCGAACTGGTTTTGACATCATGGTGTCAATACCTGGGTCCACCACGGTGTTCCAATCACCGGCTAACACCAGGTTGTCCACATCCGGGATTGCATCCACCAGATCCGCTAAAAACTGTAATCGTTCCTTCCTATCAGAAGGAGCGTACACACTCATAATTGCCCATGATTCTTCCGCAATGATGCCCTTTATCCAGACCCAGCGGCCCCAATTGTCAATACACTCATCGACCCACTCGAAGTCAAGGTTCTGATGAATCAGAATCGCCGAACCTCCTTTCATACCATTTGCGGGTGCCCACAATTGAGGGTCGTCCCACCATCTACCCAAGGCTGCAATCTTCACAGAATCTAGCTTTGTCTCTTGCAAACAGACAATTTGCACCCTTTGTGAGTGAATCCAAGATTTGAGCCTCCCACATTTTTCCCTCCCATTTCTATCCACCACCCCCCTCACATTCCATGTCGTCACAGAGAACGGATTCATATCGGACCAACCTGGCCGGAATGTTCATGGATACGGCCAGCGGCCCCTGCGGGATTTTTCCTCCGCCTTCCTGTTTCAGATGACTCCCGGGGTGTGAACCAGGGGGATGTGAGGCTGTCCCCAAAGAACAAAGATGCCAAATTTCTACGCTTCAATTTCCCATTGCATTCAGCCACGAAATCAGTCGGCATTCCATCCTCCAACTGGATACCCGATAGATTGGGGTTATCAATCCTGTCAAACCAACTGCCAGGCACCCAGACCATTCCTTCGCTTTCTAAAACCGGAAAGGCATCTGGGGGGAGTCGAAGATCTACAAATGGAACGTACAGACGGTGACAGACACCTACCGGAAATTGACGGATGGCTCTGCCCATAGTGACATTTGGGACGATTCTGCAAGGGAACCTGTTTTTCAACAGGTTTTTAACACACTCCAAGATCAGTTCATTGCTTGGTGGGAGCTCTGTGGGGAAAGAGGGTAAACCAACAGTTCGGTTGCCCATGTCCATTCCCAGGACAAGGGCACCTTGCGTGTCTGGGATACAAATGATAGGCACAATCCTCTTGGAGGATGAGGCTGCTTCCCTTGGAATCGAGGGCATACCTCCGCCTTTCTCCATAGTGGGCTCTTTGCCCTGATCTTGATTCAGTTTCCACAAAATCTCAGATGCTGGCAAGATAGAGGAGGCTGAAGATTCTCCATCTGAGAAACTGAAGGATCGGGAAGATTTCTCTTCCTGTACTCCCTCCTGCTGCTGGGTACGGCGTTGCTTCATTGGGGACTTGCCCCCTCTCCTACCATTATGCTCCGTTGCAGTAACTGGTTCGTGATGTGATAATGTCGGTCCAGTGCCCCCTGAGCCAGATCCCAAGCCAGGTTCAGGTTGACCTGATGAGGGAATCTTTGTCCCCGAGCTCATTTTTTCCACTGCATTCGCCTTCGGAGAACTCACAGGGGAGACCCCAGGAGGTGGAGGATCCGGTTCAAACACTGGGTTGTTTCTACTACCGCTAAATGATGGGGAACCTCCACCCATCGTTGGAACAGCCATGGCAGGATTACCGTTACACAGACCAGATCCCGCCTGTACCCCGGCCGTAGCAGGAATACCATTAAACAAACCAGAGCCCAACAGCCCCCCAGCCCTGACAGGATTACCATTAAACAGACCAGAACTCATCTGTACCCCAGTCATGACAGGATTACCACTAGACAGGCCAAGGCCCATCTGTGCCCCGAACCCTGGAAATGCAAACGGATTGAACCCAGTGAATCCCCCTGGGCCTCCAGGGGGGGGACCACGAAATTGCATGTGTCCCTGCTGTGGTATAAACTGAGGATAAGCCCCCTGACCCTGTTGTGTCCCTGCCGACGGATACGTGGGTTGATTAGCCTTAGGGCCCTGAGGAGGGTGAACAGTGGAGCCAGAACCTGTTCTGATTTGCAGTGGTGTCACCGGCTGCCGACCTTGCTGTGACGACGAGGGTTGAGAAGGACCCGTGGGTTGTTGGGCTTTCTGTTTCGACTTAGAGCCGACACCAGGTTGTGAGGCCGATGTCGTACCCTGTGCATGAGTGTAATGCTGTGGATGTCGTGGGCAAGCCGTGCTGTCTTCAGTATGGTAGAACCACTTACACTTTTTGCACCAGTCAGTCGCCTGAGATACAAATTCCAGCTTAAATTCCTCACCGTCTTTCTGGAACTCCAGCTTTTCTTTCCAGTTCTGTCGTGCCTCTGGAGCAAGATCCATCTTCACGTTCATTAACCGCGGACAGTGATTATCCTTCTGAGGAGGGTACATTTTCTGGATTTTGGCCATAGAGTTTTCCACTGCCCAGTGCAGATGAAATACTGCTCGCAGTGGAATCCTTATGAAATTCTGGGTGATGGCCAGAATTTGCCAAGAAAAGTTTTCGACAACTTCTTCCCACAGGAAAAGAGTAAGGGCCTCGCTGCACTGCTCTCCACATGCACAAAAGACAGAAATCCTGGCGGTGTATCTTTCCATATTCTAGGGGCAGATTCACTCTCGTTTTGCACATTTCGAGAGTAGTGTAGCGAGGCCCTAAGTTTTTTTGCCAACAACGTGGTGACGTGGCTGCTTTTCAAAGAACTTCGTCGTCGACATCATTGAATGATCTCCAGAATTTGGGAACTGTCTTGTCCTCGTCTGGTCCAGAAGTATTCACATCCGACGACGTCACGATTCTTTTTTTTGTTTTGTTTTTTTTTGTTTTTGTTTTTGGAGAAATGACCGTCACGATTCGAACAGAAGACTCGAATAATCAAAAGCAAAAAAATTCGTATAACCAATCAAAATCCCTGCGAAACGGCGGGGGKTGTCGCTCGGTCGGGACCGGGATGCTTCTCCATCCTGCCTACTACCTGGGGCGAGGTCCCACTTGCACGGATTAGGAGATTTCGGCCGTTGATCTTCGCTATCTACGGTCAATATCTCTTAATTCGTGTAAGTGGGACCTAGCCCCTGTAGGCTGATAACAGCGCGGGCTACGGTTCCGAAATCCATTCCATTAGATTTGGCGGGGTTGTCTCTCGATCGGGCTCGGGATGCTTCTCCATCCTGCCTACATCCTGCCCCTGTAGGCTGATAAGAGCGGGGGGCCACGTTTCCGTCCGACACATTGGGCGGGGGAGTGTCTCTTTGGCGGGGCGAATTGCCATTTCTTCCCGCGCCTCACCGCTGACGGGCGGGAGTACGTGTCACGCTGCCTGAAAAACACGTTATTTCCAGCTCCCTCCTTTCCTTGGCCTTCGTTCTGAGCGACGGGAAGGCTCCAAAGATTGAGCGGGAGAGGAATCACTTACTGGTGTGGCGGGAAAGTGTTTTCGTAGCATCGCAATTTCTTTTCGTGATTCGGTGAAAACACGTTTCTCTGCTTTGCGTGTTTTGTGTGAGCGAGAATGACTTCGCCGATTGCTGCCAGCGCGGCCACGGCCACGACAGGCGCCTTCGCCTCCCCCGCCTCTGTGCGGTTCTCTCGAGCGGGAATAACCATCTGCTCAAAGTTGGGAGGAATAGGAGGGGCGGGCGCGCCAGGGGCTTCGCGATCGTGCTATATTGTTCGAATGTCGGCAGCTAGCAGCGCAGGCGGATCGCCATATCCTTCGTGGAGAGAAGGATCGTCGTCCTCATCACAGCCCGACTCATCGTCCTCTACGACTGGATTGGGATCCCGGAGCTCGTCCGTGTTGGGACGGTTGATTCATCACGCGGCTGCGGTGTGCGCGCCACGTGTCGGATCCCCGGCGGTAGGCAGCGGAATCGACGGTAGAACTCATCCTCGCACGGCTATGGCGGCAGCATCTGTGGGCGGCTCAGCAGCGGCCCCTACGAAAGGGAGAAATCTCCACACCTTCACTGTGAAGGTGTGTCTATCCTCCTCCTCCTCCTCCTCCTCCTCCTCCTGAGCCTCCTACTTTCATGCGCGTCTTCACGGTGAAGGTGTGTCTATCCTCCTCCTCCTCCTCCTCCTCCTCCTCCTCCTCCTGAGCGTACTACTTTCATGCGCGTTGAAATTTGACTCTTGCGGAATGTCTCGGAATGCGTTAAAGGGCCTCGCTGCACTATTCTCGAAATGTGCAAAATGAGAATGAATCTTCTGCTAGAACGTGGAAAGATACGCCGCCATATTTTTTGTCTTTTGAGCATGTGGAGAGTAGTGGAGCGAGGCCCAAAATGTGTCATAAGACAGTGCTGATGAGATTGCGCTGTACACCAGTAGGAGATCCTCCGCCTTGCCGGCATCTCTCTATGCCTACTAAGAGTCGATCGAGTCGAAAGATACATCACCCGTAAGGCCGAAACCGGTTATTTGGCAGGTGAATCAGCTGTAGCCAACCAACCAATCAACCAACCAATCGACCCACCGACCACCCACCGTCCAATCAATCAGACGATCAGAAACTATCTCTGGTGCTGCTTCGATGCTCTTGCGTATCTTTTCTGCGCTTTGATCATATCTGTCTAGCCCTCGATGCTGCCTGCATTCCAGTAGTCATCTCATCAATCACGATTCCACTCGATCAATTAATCAGTCGATTAATCAATCAGTAGATCACTACATCATCAATCAGTAAGAAAAGTCAATTAGATGATTCAAAACCTTCTCTGCCTTTTCATTCCTCGTGTCCTAACTTTTCATCTTCTTTCTTTCTGGGTCTTGTCGCTACATCCGATTAGCGAACGTCCAAGCCACGCTGGGGTTGCACGTAAAATGATAAAGATGACGTCTATGTTTTGGACGTAGGGAACGAATATGGCCAGTGAGGCAGTGTTCCTTGAATCAATCTCTCCTCTCTCCCATTCTCTCTCTTCACTCCGTCTATTCCTTTCCTGTTACCTTCATGTCGTCTCCATGTTATGCATCCGATTGACCTTCAATCCACAACGAATTCACACGTTCCCACAACGAATTCACACGTTCCCATAGGCGCATGCAATTGCAGAGTAGACTCGAAGGAGGCAAATCCACGCAAAACCGGAGAGAAGATATGCACAGCGGAAGCTCAAAATATCCACACACAATTGAAAAACCCATTTCAATTCTGCAATCCCTCCTCCTCCTCCAATCAATCCAGAGTACTTGTTCCAAGATTCACAACTGCGTTTACAACACCCCCGAACAACCAACCACGAGTGTTCAACGAAGTATCCAGGAGTCTTCTTCTTCTTCTTCTTCTTCTTCTTCTTCCTCGCCACCTCATACCCCTCCCTGGCTATGGCTGCCTGGCTATGGCTGCCTTGCCACCTCATACTCCTCCCTGGCTATGGCTGCCTGGCTATGGCTGTCGTAGCAGCAGTAACCCCACAGCTGTCGCAACGTGGTTCGAATCTGAACCAGCAACCCCAAGGATAGCAGCGCCAGCTCAGCGCCCGCACGGAAATGCAGTGCTGGCAGTCCTGATGAAGAAGGAGACAACCGATCCAACACTTGGAAGAAGATGAAGATGACAACCGATCCAAAACTTGGAAGAAGATGAAGATGAAGTTCCTCGTGAGGAGGAACCAAAAAAAGATACGTCTGCCAAGTGGAGAATAGCAACGGCCCAAACCCAACAACACAGTCCTGTAGAAGCTCTCATGCAGAGCTGCGGAATAGCAGTAGTGTGAGATCTTCAACTTTTCGTTTCCCAACCCCCAGCTATGGCTGGGCTTCGAGGAAGAAGATGACCTCGCCCAAAATAGAGCAGCAGCGCTCCAACGACGGACGGGCAGAGTTTCCCCCAGGCAACGAAAGCGTGAAAAGACCGAACACTTAGTGCACAGCGCGACTGGGAAACTGCGATTTATTGCATCCACATTCCGTAATGCATGGCCTTATTGGAATTTCACGTGTACGATTGGTCAATTTCTCGAACTCGAGATTTTACAGTGGGTGAAATAGGCCACGTTTCCTTCTATCTGATGCCGTCTCCCAGTCAGGCATCTCTCTCCCTCTTTCCCTCTTTTTCTCCCCTCCCCCGTTTCGACATGCCCTACGATTCCTTGAGATCAGCCTGGCCAAGAGTTGCCTATGAAAGCGAAATACAGACGCAGAGAGAGAGAGAGAGAGAGAGAGAGAGAGAGAGAGAGAGAGAGAGAGAGAGAGAGAGAGAGAGAGAGAGAGAGAGAGAGAG